AAGCAAACAATACTGATATGTTGAATATAAATAAAACACAGCCTTTCCCCTCAGCATGCTAAATAAAATTGAAAAATACAATATGGTAAACACTAATGGATTTGAAGTGAGACACTGACAATTGTTAGCTTTTCCATCTTGGCTAACTTTATAGATGGATTTCCACAATTAATAGATATATAAGAATCCTATACATATGCCATGGTAAGCAACTCCTGTTAATTAAGTTGAAGTAAGATGGCTCTAAGCTAATGTAATTATCATAGAAACAATTCTTACCTACCAAAAGCTCTTTCCATTGAGAGGACTGGGGAAATATGGACCTTCCTGAGTAGGCTAAGTGTATCCCATGGTGAAAATTGTAAAATGTCTGGAGATAGGAATGCTAGTTGTAATGGTAAATGTTTTAGTCAGCTTTTACATTGCTGTGAGTAAAGGATCCAACCAGCACTGTTGAGGGCCACAGCCGAGTCAGGATGACGCATGGCATTTTTGCCAGAAGTAGTGGTTGAGAGGTGACACCAGCGAACCATTTAGATGATGACTTTTGAGTTCTCGCGGAGTTCCTGTTGAGTTCCGGTTGAGCTCTGGGGTGGGGGGGGCGGATTCCTGAAGAGTTCTTGGTTCCGGTGGTGGGAGTTCCGGTTGGTGTGTGGTGTGTTCCTCCTTGAGGATCCCTGTGGGTGGAGTTTGGGAGAGTTCCTGGGGAGTGTGCTGGTAGAGTTCAGAAATAAAGTTTGTTCCTGCTTGAGTGGCTCGTGATTTGTGCCCAGCCAGACTGTGGCACAGCACAATTGTAGAGGGCTCATGGTTTCAGAACTCTAAGTCCATAGAAGGCCAGCTCCATTCCTCAGGGCTCTAGGTGAGGCAGAACATCATGTCATGGTGTAAGAGTGTGGCAGGGGGAAATCAGCCCACATGATGATCAGGAAAAAGAGAAAGACTCCACTGGCCAGATACAAAATATACCCAAAGACTTGCCCCAATTCCCACCTCCTCCAGCCATACCCCTCCATGTCAATACCACTCAGTTAATCCCTATCAGAGGATTAATTCACTGATTGGGTTAAGACACTTGCAATCCAATCACTTATCCTCTAAACCTTCCTGCATTGTCTTACATGTGAGATTTTGGGGGATACCACATCTAAACCATAACAGTAAAATAATATTCTCATTCTAAATTATAGTGTCCATTGTTGTCTAATGGCATAAATTTAGTACAGTACCTTTCTACTCTTAAAAAAAAAAAAACAGAATAACAGACTTTTTAAACTGGAAATAGTACATTCCATTTCTTCAAAGAGATTTGGAAAAATCTTCTGAATGCCTCTGAAAAACTAAATCAACCTCATGTTGTATCCATGCACAGGAAGAGTACAGACCCTCAAGATGATCAAACAAGCCCAACAGCTGCTAAATATCTATTCAAACAGTGCTAGAAAAGCACATATTTGATGAATTTCTCCTGGGAGATTTGTATCTAAAATGAGACTAGAAATCACATTCCCTCCTATAAAGCAACTTTGACAAGCCCCAAACTGGGAATTATGTGTAATTAATGAATGAAATTCACTAAGCTCATTTCCTGAACTTCTATCCACACTACACTCTCTTGGTGGGACTTCACCTGACACTAACAAGTATTTTTTGGGGGAAAAGGGGGTGGGGGGCGGGATTTGAAATGAAAAGAATCTATCAGTTGTTTGTCAAGGCATGAACTTCTTAAAAGGTACAAAATGTATATCTGGTAAGTTTCTTGAGGGTAGGATTCCTTTGGTCTAGGTAATAGTTCATGGTAAGCATTTCACATATATTTATTGCTTGGCTAAATTCAGTTAACTAGATACATCAGTGGCTTTGGTCTCTAATCTAGAGAAATTGTTCATCTGCAAAATGGCTATCTAGGTCATGGCCAGAATAACACTTTGAATTGTATACACATTGACAAATGCTTGTTTTAATATCATTTTTTTATATCTCAAGAGTCATAGTATTTTCTTAAATAAACTGTTTCTTCAGAATAAATTCTATTAAATGAGAGAATTGCACAGATGCTTATGAATTCTAAATTTTATATCAGAAAGATATTAAAATATTGCTGCAAATGATATTCTAGAGTATCAAAATTATAAACAATCCAAACAACACATTACTATTATGATCATTGATGAATTTTTTTTTTTCCTTCCTATTACTGAAACTAAGGCTTTTGGGTTGTCCTAATTGACCAAATTCAATTGGTAATTGATACTATGTCTTCACAAACAGTGTTTCAGTGTAATGCTATTTTATCTGGTCAGTTTCAACAAGGTCACAGAAACTTTTTTGAAGGGAAGTGACATTTGAGATAAAAGAGTTCAGGGAAAATGAGGAGGGAGAAACAGTTTTTCTGGTCAAAGAGCTGAAGCTATAGTTCTGAAAGCATTGTCCAGGGTCCAGCAGAATCAACATCCCCCTGGGAGTTTATTAGACATGTAAATTCTCGGCTCCATTTGTTGAATTAGAAACCCTGGACTGGGAGTCCTGAAGTCTGTATGTTAAGCAGCCCTGCAGGTGATTTTCATATACCCTACTATTAAGAACCACTGGACTAGAAATTGGAATTTTTTTTCTTTATGCAATACTCTAGGATCAATATGAGAAATAACCTGAATCCCGGACTGGATGAGGTTGCCCAAGGAAACAAGATCATAATTGGTTGACAGATTAAATGATATCATAGAGGCTGGGAAAGGACTAAGTTATGATAGACTGAGTAAAATGAAAAAAAAATCTACATTAAGTTTTTGAGACTGCGTAGATGTTGAAACTGCTAAAAGCAATTGCGAATACATAAGTTAGCATTTTCAGAAAGAAAATAAATCAGTTTTGGATTTATGGAATTCCAAGTTCCTATAGGTATCTGAGGTTTAGAACCCAGAACTCTCATTATCACGTAGCTGGCCAGCTAGCTGTATGTAAAATTAAACTGTAGCAACTAATATGATATTCTAAGGGAAAAATATAAGAGAATAAAACTGAGAGAAAGCACTCAAATCACACACAAAGAAAAGACCTTTATGGGCATGTTAGACAGAAAAGAGAATCAGAAGAAACATTAGTCTCTGGATTTTCCAAAACTACCATGAACCTAGTCATCTATTGTCTAAGTACAAAAATCATCTTCAGCTTAGGTAAAAAAATATAACTAAGCTGAAATAGCTATGTTTTGCATGATTTGGGAGATCTAACTTTTAAAATGATAAATATTTTAAAAGACTACTAAAAATTCTAGAGCAGCAATGTTTTTCAAAAAGTTTAATTTAACCTAAAGACAAATTATGGGAATAAGACATCTACATAATTCCCTTGAAATAATCTTAACAAAAAGCTGATTTAAAGCACAACCTGAAATATTGATAATTTGGGAAAAGAAAAAAAAATAATCATATAAAGATAATTCCGAAAGCCCTTACTCCTCTCCTTCCATTGGCATTCAACATCCCCTTTACACTCCCTGGAAATGAGTACTGAATGAGTACTGAATACTTATTAAACTTATCTAATACCCTAAGCTTTGCTAAATTTGCTGGAGATGAACTTACCTTTAAGAAAATCAGTTTATAACAGAATTCCTGCAGTGACCCTTGGCCCTAGAGAAAGTTAGTAAAACACCATCCTGCTGTGTGCTATTTTAAAGCTATGAGTAAATTAAAACCAAACCAAAATCACAATCCCAAAGACAAAATGGTGTATTAATGGTTGGAGAGAGAGGTGAAACTAAGGGATCATTTTTCCTTCATGTTGGTTTAGCTGAATGACAATGTCTCTTTTTTTAATCATCATATAGGACATTTTTATAATCTTGACAAAATATGTTTTTGCTTCTGATGATCTAAGCTGCCTTCCTATCCTCTCCATCCCACCTTTATTAACTTCTATACACACACACACACACACACACACACACACACACACATTTTAGCCTGGAGAGGAGGAATAAGATGAATTATCATTTTCCATCAATGTCTCTCTTTTCTCCACAAGTTATGGATAATGAGGCCAGAAATGTAATTACTGAAAGAGTTTGGAATGGTTAATTACTGAACTAATCTCAAATATGGTGGTGACTGCAGAACAACAAAACTTACTTTACTTTATAGCTGCCAGAGCCACTCCGAATGTGATAAACATCTTGTGTTTGCAAACCCAGATGCTATACCAAAGGAAGTTTCACGTTCCTTTGGTAGTAAATTACCACAAGGACCTGCTAAATTCAACTCATTCGGATTTTGTAATAAGAGAACCCATTAAACTGGAATAACTTTAAATTTTGACTGTTAAACTAGTATGGAAAGGGAAGGGAAAATAAAAATGGTGCATTGAAGGAGGTGTCTGGAGGATCCTGTTGAATTTCCAGTTTTGAAGCCGAAGATCTGCAAACCTCTTTACCTTCCTTTGTTCACACTGATCACTGGAGAGCTGGCACGTAAGGGAATTTCATAGCAATTCTTAAACTAAAGCACAGGGCTTTGAGATTGTAGGTCAATACTTCCAAGAAAAAAAAAAATGGACATTTCCAAAAACCCATAGAACTTTTCCGTTTTCCAAAAAAATCCATAGAACTTTTCCACCGCTTAATTGCCATGACTCCTGGGTGCTCTGCATTTGCTCGCGAGGATTTAGAAGATGTCCCACATCCTTCTTCAATCCATTATCCCTCACTGGCAGATAACCAAACTCTCTACCGGCCTTTGTGCCTCCCTAATGCCAACGACTGTGATTTCTTCCGCCCGCCTATCACGTGGTGGCCCGGTGATCTGTTGCCTCGTCCCCCCCATCCCTTTGTGACGTGAGTGGCTTAGGTCTGAGCCCTGGTGCTGTATGCTCACAAAGGATTGGGGCATAACACGCCTGTGTTCAGTGCTCTGGATGCTTCAGGCTGGCTTGGGCTCAGGGCCCCTTGCTCCAACCCCAAGGACCCTTGGAAGGGAGCCCTAATACCTCCATCATTCACCATGGCAAGCCAGTTCTGCCTCCCTCTTGCCCCACGCCTTTCACCCCTGAAAGCCTTGAAGTCGCACTTCAGAGACATCCAAGTTGGCATCTGCCTGGCGATCCAGCGCAGTGACAAGAGGATCCATCTTGCTGTAGTCACAGAGATCAACAGAGAAAAATCTTGGGTCACAGTTGAGTGGATTGAGAAAGGAGTCAAGAAAGGCAAGAAGATCGATCTAGAGTCCATATTCCTGCTGAATCCAGCTCTGGCCTCTGCAGAACATACCACCACGTTGCCTAGGCCCTTGCCCTCATTGTCCCTAGTACCCTCCAAGGCCATTGGAGATCAGCGTACATCCCCAAGGTGGATTGTGGTTGCCCCCCAGAAAAATGAAACACCCTCAGGGGACAGCTCGGTCCTGGGGGTCCCCACCAGCCCTTGTCTGATGAAGCGGAAAAAGTCTCCTTGCCTTCGGGAAATCGAGAAATTGCAAAAGCAGAGGGAGAAGCGCAGGCGCCTGCAGTTGGAGATCCGAGCCAGACGCGCCCTCAACGTCAACACCGGAAACCCAAACTTCGAGATCATGCGCATGATCGAAGAGTGCCGCAGACACACGGACAAAAGCAAGATGTCCATCATGCAGCCCCTGGAAGATCACCGGATCTGTGTCTGCGTGAGGAAGAGACCTCTTAATCAGCGAGAGACCACCATGAAGGACCTGGATATCATCACCATCCCCTCTGACAATGTAGTCATGGTGCACGAGTCCAAGCAGAAGGTGGACCTCACCCGCTACCTGGAGAACCAGACCTTCTGTTTCGACCATGCTTTTGATGACAAGGCCTCCAATGAGTTAGTGTACCAGTTCACTGCCCAGCCACTGGTGGAGTCTATCTTCCGCAAGGGCATGGCCACCTGCTTTGCCTATGGACAAACGGGCAGTGGGAAAACGCACACCATGGGCGGAGCCTTTTCTGGAACGTCTCAAGATTATTCTAAAGGTATTTACGCCTTGGTAGCGCAAGACGTCTTTCTCTTGCTCAAAAACTCCACTTACGAGAATCTGGATCTCAAAGTCTATGGGACCTTTTTTGAGATTTATGGTGGCAAAGTATATGACTTGTTGAACTGGAAGAAGAAGCTCCAAGTCCTTGAGGATGGTAATCAGCAAATGCAAGTCGTCGGGCTGCAGGAGAAAGAGGTGGGTTCCGTGGAGGACTTGCTGAACCTGGTGGAACTGGGAAACGGCTGTCGGACTTTGGGACAAACGTCTGTCAATGCCCACTCATCCAGGAGCCACGCGGTATTCCAGATCATCTTGAAGTCTAGAGGGAAACTGCACGGCAAGTTCTCTCTGGTTGATTTAGCTGGGAACGAGAGGGGAGCAGACACCGCCAAGGCCAATCGCAAGAGGCAGCTGGAAGGGGCGGAGATTAACAAGAGTCTCCTTGCCCTCAAAGAATGCATCAGGGCTTTGGGTCAGAACAAACCTCACACCCCTTTCAGAGCCAGCAAACTCACGCAGGTGCTCCGGGACTCCTTCATAGGCCAGAACTCTTCCACTTGCATGATTGCTACCATCTCACCAGGGATGACCTCTTGTGAAAACACCCTCAACACTTTAAGATATGCAAACAGAGTGAAAGAATTAGCCCTGGATGTAAGGCCTTACCACCAATGCCTGACTCCCATTAAACATGAGACACCGCCCATGTTTGAAAAGCACATTAGGAATTCAGAAATATCCCTTCAGAGGGAAGAGCTTGTTAAAATATCGTGTATACAGAGTGAGGAGGAGAAACGGAGTGAAGCGATTGCAACACTAGCCACGCCATTAATAAGGGAGGCAGTGACTACATGGAAGGATTCTAGTTCGTGGTGGGAGAGCATCCAGGAGACAGCTAATGGCGTGAACTATGATGTTGACTTTTGCATTGCCCAGTCATTGTCCGTTTTGGAGGAGAAAATTGGTATTCTGACTGAGATCCAAACGAAACTGAAATTATTAAGAGTTGACCTCCAAAACCAAGAGCAAGGTAGAATGAAGCCAAAGGCAAGCCATCAGGACTGACATGATGGCTATAGTGCTGCAGTTTCTACCTCTCTTATACAGGCAAATCTTTTCAAATTATCTAGCATAAAGATCCTCCTGGAGAGCTTAGAACATCTTCAGATATGCTTGTCAGAATTAAGGTCTATCTTCTTCTTCTGCTTTTTTTTTTTTTTTTAATTTGCTGCTTTCATTCTGTAGGACATCAGTTCTCAACTGGGAATGGTTTTGCCCCCCCTCCCCAACCCCGGGACAATGGGCAATGTCTGGAAACATTTCCATTGTCACAACTAGGGGGGAGGGGAGTAGAGACACTGGCATAGAGTGAGTAGAGGGACCAGAGTCACTGCCAAAGATTTCATGCTGTATGGGGCAGCCTCCCGTAACAAATAATTATGTTTTTGTTTGAAATTATCAATAGTACCAAGGTTGAGAAACCCTGCTGTAGAAGAAACCAGCTTTGATGAAATCAAATACCATAAATTTTCAGGTAGAAAAGCAAAAATCCTGTAAATGAAAGGGATTCGCCTGGAAACAACGCCAAGGGGCTACACAACTGAGTAAAGCCAAAGGTACTTGCTTATGAGTCTTTCTCTGTTGCATTGTTGGGTAGATTCAAATGGTTTCTAAGATTGAGTCACTAGGAGGAGAAGGAAAGAGGGATTTTTCTCTGTATCTATCATTGACAGCCTAGAATTGAGAGGAAAAAACAATTTTTTTTTTGTCTTTGAGTTGAAATTGCAAATGTGCTCTCTGGGAGAGTTTAAAGAGAGAGAAAAAGAAAGAGGAAGAGAGAGAAAGAGAGAGGGAGATGAGAGAGAGAGAGAGAGAATAGAGAGAGAAGAGAGAAGGATAGTTTTGCATAAGCAAGGGCTTTTATTTAAATTTAAATATGGTGTCTTTAAGCAGTTTTTCTCTTATACTCTTTACCACATTCTTTACACATAAAAAGCCTTTTGGGAGTAGGAAAAAAATAAATGATAGAAAAGTTCCTACATAAGGCAAAACATATTCCATAATTCCACAAAGGCCTCAAAAGAAATATAAGAAACTTTAATGCTTGAGGTCAATTAGATATGTAGTAATTTTTCCTGATTTAAAGATCACCAAAGTTTGTAGTTAAAAAAAGAATGCTAATTTTATATGCAAATGTCAAGATAATGAATAGTCTAATACACTAATACACATAGCAAATGATTAATCGATAAATCAGCAAATATTTATGAAACATTGTTAAAAAAAAAGGTCTTTTGCCTTCAAATCTATCATTTCCACACTCTTTAAAAACTTATTTTTAAAGTGAAATGATTTGCAAAGAAATCGTTTAGCAGATGAGGGAAATTTAGTTACACAGAATAAAAGTAGTCTCCAAATCACTTACTAATTGTAGCCAGGTATAAGGCAGCATATTTCTTTCAAATTTTTGTCTCTAAGCTGCAAAGATCCCATTGGCACTGTGGATACCTGACATACAACTTGATCACAGTATAGAACAGTAATGTCCTATCAAGAGCTATCAGTGTAAAACAGTCAAGGATCATCATGAACATCTGGTCTTTAGTAATTAATATTTTGGTCTCTAAATATTTTCCCCTCCGCTGCTTCATCTATGTGGGTGAAAGCATAGATTATTAAAAGATATAGCATAATATTTAGCAGAAGTTGATCTTTCTATCAATATGAGATTTTTAAAAAATCTTATTTATGATTATATGTAATGAAAAAAAATGAATCTGGCCTAGGTTTCAATGCCTGTCTCATTATATAGATGTCTGTAATTTTAGTCAAGTAATTTAATCCCTCTGAGTTTATTTCTTTCTATATGAAGCAGGACAATTCAGTACCTACTTCAACAGTTTTGTTTTCTCTCTCCTTCCCTCTCATCATTTATGACAATAACTGATGCTATTCTTACCATTGAACTTGTCCTACTTATCTCCATCACCCTACCCCTTCTGCCACACAGATTTGTGTAGCCTACTAGTAATTTCAGCATTGTGATATTGATATTTTTTACTGTAAACAAAGTGTTTGACTAGAGCATAACATGAAGTGCACATATAGCTCATACAATTCAGTAAATGTTTAAAAAGAGAATATACCTACATTATGAATATACACACAAGATACAGAACATAACCAGCATCTCAGGAGCCTTGTTCTTGCTTCATTTCAGTCATCATTTGCTATGTCCAAGTTAATGACTCATCTGACGAAAATCATCTTTTTTTTTCGTATGAGTGGAGTTACATTCCAGATACACTTAGATCCCTGACTTGCTGCTTTCAACCAAAACCATTTTTGATCTGACCTTTATATTGTTCTGTTGTATTCCACCATATGAATATCCCATTTATAAATTAAATTTTATTTGGAGCTCTAATGGCACAATTGGTTAGCCCACAGTAATTATAAACTGGATTTTTGATAGATAATTTATTTTCAGCATTTAGTAATAATGATACTGTGAACATTTATGCATTTCCAATTAAGTATTCTTAGATGTGCAGTCCCTTGTATTTTCAGCATAATAGATCATGCCAAGGAATTTTCCAAAGGATTTGTAACAACTTTGTACCATCAGAAGGAGTAGTGATGTTTCATTTTGAAATAATTTCTAGTTCCTCAAGTTTGCCTACACTTAGTAATATCATTTTAATTTTTTAAAAACGTTATGTGTTTCAATGTATGTGGAAAGATTTATCATTATGGTTTCAACTTTTCTGGTAAGAATTATATTGAACATCTTTACATATGCTTACTGATGTTTCAAACATTATCTTTTATTCATTACAAGTGTTTTGGAAATAAGTTTTTCAGATATATAGATTGAACCTATTTTCTCTCAGGTCCTGAATTGCCTTTCTACTCTTTTGATTGAAAATTTACATACTTAATGAAATTCAGGTTATTAATTTTTTTAAATGGTTAGACCCTTTTAAGAAATTTCTGTCTACCCCAAATCATGAATCTGTTCTCCTTTGTTGTCTTCTAAAAGCTGGAATTGGTTTCTTTTGTTGTTTGTTTTATTCTGTTTTGTTTTTTTGAGTGTCCCGTGAAGTATAACAATCAAAGTTATTTTTGTATTTAATGTAGATCCTCAAGTGAACCAGGCAATTATTCAGCGAGTACCTTATTTGACACTGCAATGCAGTATATCACCATTGTTGATCAGATGACCATAAAGATGCTACTCTTACTTGCTATGTCTGTGCATCAAAACCACACCTATTTTATTTCTTTACAATAGGTTTTGATACATGTTAGTATAAGATCATGCTGTTTTTTTTAATAAGTGTCCCCCAAAGATCCATGTGTGGAAAGCTTTGTCCATAGTTTGTGCGAGATATGGATCCTCTAAAAGATGGGGCCCAGTAAAAAGTAGGTTATTGGGTGTCACTGTGAAAGGAGTAGTGAGACTCAGGACCCTCACCCCTTTCTCTCATTTCACTCTCCAGCTGCTATGTGATGGATGGCTTCATCCACTACATCCTCTTGGCCATGTACTCTCTGGCCACAGGCAGGGAGGCAATTGGGCCTAGTGACCATGGACTGAAACTCTGAAACCATTAGACAGAATAAACCTTTCCTCCTCAAAAGTTGACTTATCTCAGGTGTTTCTTTTCAGGAATGGAAAGCTATCAGTTGACTTTTTTCTTCACCTCTGTCATTCTCTGTATTTTTACATTACTAACAAAATATTGGAATCAACTTTCCAGTTTTCATACACATATGTGAGCATTCACACGCATGTACACACACAATTACTGGTACTCTGGATAATGTTGAGTCAATAAATTAATTTGGTCAGAAATCACAACTTGGAACATGAAATATAGTTTAGTGGCAGAGTACCTACTTAGCATGTGTGAGGCCTTCGGTTTGATCCCTGGTCTCTCTCTCTCTCTCTCTCTCTCTCTCTCTCTCTCACACACACACACACACACACACACATACACACACACAAAATGACATCTTTACATTTTGAGTCCTCCAACCTATGCAAATGGTATATGCATTTAGTCCTTTGTTAATTAGTTAATTTAGTCCTTTGTTAATTTCTCTCTTTAGTCCTTTGCTAAGTTCTCCCTTTTATCTTTTGTAGTTGTCTGTTTGAGATCTTACATGCCTTTCATTAAAATTATTCAATGTTTTTAAAGCTTACCTAAGCTTTGTCACTTCTATTATTAGGATATTAGGGTGAAACATTTTAAGGGAGAACAACATAATCTCGTCGTAATTAATAGTAACCATTGCTGGGTAAAGGGACTATAGGACTATGTTGATGAGAGTCATGTATTGCTTAGCAATGGGAATTCATTCTGAGAAATGCATGGTTCATTTATAATGGTGTCAACATTATAGAGTGTACTTACATATGCCTCAATGAAATAACCTACTTCAGACTCATGCTATATGATATTATAGCCTATTGTCCCTAGAAATGTGTTCAGCACATTATTGTATAGAATACTGTAGGTGATTCTATCATGATGATAAATATTTGTGTATCTAAGCATAGAAAACATAAAGTAACTATATGCATAAGAGACTTTAAAATGAAACACCTGGATTGGATTCACCATGAATGGAGCTTTTAGAACTGGAAACTGCTCGAGGCAGGGGCAGGTGCAGTCAATGAATGAATGGTAAACAAATGTTCAGGCTTAGGACACTGCTGTCCACTGCTGCAGAATTTACAAACCCTGTGCAGTTTGGCTACAATAAATTTACAAAAAGAATTCTGCAGTAATTAACCTTAGCTTCCTATAGCTTTTTTCTTTGTGATTTTTTATTTTTTTTCACCTTTTTGACTTTTTATAACACTTATTTAAAACACAAACACATTGCACAACTGTACAAAAATATTTTATTTCTTCATATCCTTAGTTAAGCTTTTTTTTACCATTTTAAATTTTTGTTTGTTTGTTTTATATTTTAATTTTTAAAATTTAGGTTAAAAAATACAACACAAACATACATTAGCTGAGATCTACCCAGGATCAAGATTATCAATATTG